GTTGCACACGACTAGCACATTGGGCGCCGGAACCGGAAGTGTTCGACTGGTGCTTTTACAACAGCTGATACCCTGTAGTCAGAGGCTGTAGATCTCAATGGTGCTGTTGGTAGCAAATACAGTAAAGAAAAGCTCACACTGCAGAGCTTTTTCGATTTGCTGACTATTCAAGTGCTCACTGCCCTGACAATAGCCACTCTTTTTTGATGTTTTATTAAACTTTTAAGACAATTCAGTGTGGTACTGCAAAAAAAGAATCTCACAAACTATACTATAAAATGATGTTCCAATTGCCAATTTGTACAAAATTGTGGGTTCAGTTTGAACTGGTCACTGCTAATGTTATATTTAAGCCAAGTAATAATTTAAAAGTAAAAAAAAAAGCTGTACAAGTAGGCAGAGGGAACCATATACCTAGGGGATTATTCACTAATAACCCTGATAGAAATTCCATCATTGGAGCAGGGCTTTAAGTTAACATTGTGCTGGCCCGACATAAACACCATCCTTAAAAACCTCATGTAGCTTTGAATACGTTTATGTACATGTACTAAAAACCCCATTGAACATGCATACTACTACAAAAATCTGGAGCTGGCACCATCTCGGGCACCACATCAACTGTACTTTAGTAGTTAAGTGATTAGCATAATGTGCTGGTTGGAATGATGGTTTGCTGCAGAGAAGTGCAGTTGAGTAGAATGTCTAGAATTATTTATTTGGCTTTTACTGCCTCTTGCAACATTTACCATTCTAGTGCTACTCCCATATTTACACAAATTTTTAACAATCCGGTGTTTTCTTGTGGTTTATATTATTTTATTTTCTGAGGGTGTATATTCACGCAATTCGAAATAAACATGGAACCAGATGAAGCAACCATTGCAAATATTTAAATACCGGACTGAACTGTCATCTGCTGAGATGTCTTCTTTCTACTTGTTTACTTTGTACATGGCCTGGATACTTCAACAGAGAACAAAGACATAACTAAGCGATAAAGTAATAGGCAGGAGGTGGATTGGTCAAAGGCTATAACAGACATAAATAATGACTCTCCACTGTGTTCCCGGAGTTCCTGCACCCCATTGATAGTGACAATCTAATATAATATTGTAAAACCAGCAAATTATAATTTTATTTATTTGCTCTACATGGATGATGTGTAATGCATTTAGGATAATGTTAATTCGTTATTAGAATGATCTGAGTGGGCTAACATGCTGAATTGTGAACCAGCCCGTTGCCATACACATACCATTTTAAAACTAAAATGTGAGACACATACATGCACATTGTTATGTACAGCATTAGCATTGTGAATGTATTGTGAAGTATAAAACAACCTATAAAATACATGTTTAGCTTTTAGCTTGCATGTTTTGCTTTTACTCAAATAAATAAGGAAATCTGTCTCACCTAATTGCATAAATGCATTATTATTTAGAAATAATGAAACTAATGTGTCAAAAGTGAACTTCTTGAAAACTTCTCCTTGTATGCTCTAGCAGCTCACTTTTCTGATTTCTATCCAATGATCTGTGAGGCATTTTTCTTGCCCCCCCCCCCCAAAAAAAAAAAGATCTCTATGCCCTTTTGTAATGAGTAGGTGTTTCAAGAAGGGGGACCAGAAAAGGTGATTCCCCGCTCACAAATTACCAATTGTGTTGAGCTTTGTGCTCGTTTATATCACTACTTGCCCAATATTGTGGTGCTGGAATACATGAACCTATGTGCAGCAGAGTGGGTAAACTGCTACCTCCTTCCTAGTTGAATGGTAAAGCAGACCACTGGTCGCTGGAGATGTTTTCTATTGAATTATTGTCATCATTAAAAATGACAGCACGCAACTGGAGCATAAAAATCTCCAAGAATACTACTTTCCACTTACTTTATTGATTCAGTCAGGTTAGAGCTAGACCCTCCTAGGTCATAAGGAGCCTCCCTTTAAACGTTGATAGATTTATCCAGTCATAGTAAAGACAGCATTGGACATTGAAACAGAAGATGGAATTTGAATTTTGTTTAGTTTTTAAAGCTAAAATCTGAGATAATAAAATATTGTCTAAAGACAAGATACTTGAATTTTGGTGTGCTTTGTGTAATTTTCCCCAGATTTGTGCAGTAATCCAATGTAAAATATTGCCTTTGTGCAGGTTCTTCCTGTAATAAAGACTGGTCACTCCTGCTCGCTCTCTCTCTCTCTCTCTCTCTCTCTCTCTCTCTCTCTCTCTCTCCCTCTCTCTCTCCTGCAGGGTGACTAGTCTTGTATCTGCCCACTCCTGTAGTTTTCTTCAGACAGTCTGTAGTGGGTGGGCCTGCTTGGTCCCTCCCACAATCTAGCTCTCTACACAGATTATGATGCCATACTGCTTTTATAAGGTTTTTCTGGGTTTGCAAAGACATTAGATACACAAAATGGTGTAATATCCTTTTCGGTTATTGCAGAATATATTTAGATGAAATTATTTGTGCCCAGAATTCAGCATTAATTCATTTATTAATAACAAAAACAGTTGTCTATGAGTTGGGCATGTGTGTTTGTACACTATACTTCATAGCAGGTAAACAGATAAGGGCTACACAGTACTCTTTTACTGGTTCTTCATTGAAGGGATAGCAGCTTGGAGGCCTTAAATGGCAAGGCAGAGAGCCGTATACACCAGAATATTACTGACACAAATAGTAAAGTAGTTCTCATATATTTACAGGCAGTCCCTGGGTTACGGACGTCCGACTTACGGACAATCCGTACTTACGAACGGGCTCCACAGTACTCCTAAATGTACCGATAGCCGCCGGTACATTTAGGAGAACTGTGGCTGCAGCGGCCTGTGTCCCTTCAAATCCCCGCTTTACTCCCCGCCTGTGTTGGTGGAGGCAGCGGGGACACAGACCGCAGCATTGCTCCGCTGCTGTCTTTCCCTGTTCCGTCGGCTTCTCCGTTCCCTCATTCGGCCGCGGCACCTCTGCCCCGCCCCACTGCCTCAGCTTCATCTGCAGGCTGGGAGCCATACCCAGCCTGCTATTGGATATTGTAAAATGCAATAGTCAATAGCAAGCTGGCTATTGCACCCGCCAACTGCCTGCTGTCAATCAGCATGGGAGAACCTGATAGAGAACTTTCTCCTTCAGGCTCTTCCTCTGCTGATTAACAGCAGGCAGTGGGCAGATGCAATAGCCAGCCTGTTATTGGCTATTGCAATTTGAAATATCCAATAGCAGGCTGGCTATTGCTTCCAGCATTAAAATAAAAAAAAGTTTAAAAAAATGTAAAATTAAAAAGACAAATTTTTTTTAAAAAAAGTTACATTAATAAAAATTAAACATGAAAACAAATAAAAAAATAAAGTTTTAAAACAACTTTTTAAATAACAAATTTTTTAAATTATATTTTAATCTTCTGAACAACAGGAACAGACAGCAAAACAAACGTGACCCTTCCTTATGCTATCCAAAACTAAAAAATGTTTTTTGGGGCTGGAGTTACACTTAAAAAATGTACCTGTTCCGACTTACATACAAATTCAACTTAAATACAAACCTAAAGTTCCTATCTTGTATGTAACCCGGGGACTGCCTGTATGGTTTTAATTTTCTTCTGAGTAGCCAGCACACAATATACTGTATGTGTACATTATTTACCCTTATATATTATATTTTAGATGTTGATGAATGCCAAGCAATTCCAGGACTGTGCCAAGGAGGAACCTGCATCAACACAGATGGTTCTTATGAATGTAGATGTCCTGTTGGTCATAAGCAGAGTGAGACATCTCAGAAATGTGAAGGTGAGCAACACTGTATGATGATTTAATGTAACAACACAAACAGGTCTATTCACTAAAGGGTGAAGGGTTTGGAGAAGGCAAGAGAAGAGAACAATCTAGGCCAACATAGCTGATTTAGAAAAATTCTCCAATTCAACTCACTTTTCAGTTCAGCTATTTTGGCCTAGATTGTTCACTTTTTCTTCCTTCACCCTTTAGTGAATAGACCTGAAAGACATGCAGGAATCACCTTTTACAAGCTGCTGTTTCTTCAGATGTAACAGTGTCATTATACATGCAATGGCAGGATCCATTTTGCCTGTTCTTTTAGAATGCATGAGAATAAATTCCCTACTCTATATAAAACAAAAAAAACAAAACAGTATGGGCTATATATACAGTTTCAGCACTTTGCAGTATCTCCTATTCTTTGTGTCTTAATGAGTAAGAAAATATACCATAAAACTAATATTACCTGAAAATCAAACTAGAAACAATTCACTCTCGCACCTATAAGACATCACATACAAAAAATCATGTGAGGTACAGTATATAATGAGAAGAAGCAACTCTAGCAATATTAGAGTGCTTCTTTTATTGGTATGTTGGGCATTAAAAATTATTTTCTCACTGTATTGACAAATATTTATATAATAAATATAAATATGTATTTATAACATTTTGAAATCTACAAATATAAATACTTGTTTGGGGACCAATTACAAGTAGCATAAGTATTAAAGTGGACCTTTACCCCCTTTGGCTAAAAATCACATCAGCATACAGCTTTGCATGCTGATATGAAATAATCTTACATTCATTAGTTAAGTAAACATATTTGCATTTTGCTTACAGTTTCTTGTTTTCTACTTCCTGGTCCACTTTGGCACACATGATGTAATCTGTGCCCAATTGTTGCATCCTGGGAAGGTTACATCAGCAGTTCACCGCTGGGAAATCTCATCTGTAATCTCATGAGATCGCAGGGAAAGGCATCTTCTTCCCCTGAGACGATGTGCATGGTCACATGTCCTAGTCACATGTGCCAAAGTTCCAGAAAGTAAAGGGAGATGGATTCTTCTGCCCTTAGTAAAAATGGCCACCGTGAGAAGAATGGGGAGGAAAAGAAAAAAAACATATCCAAAGAATAGAAAGCCGGCCATTATCTATAAGTATATCTTTGTACATTGTCATTACTAAACATTTCTAAAGGTGCGTTTGTTGTTATTTTGAAGATATGTGTAAGTTCCTCTTTAAAAACTACTAACATCTATACCCCCCAAAAAATGGGAACATATTTTAGTAAAAATATTTGCAAGTGCAACATCGTGTTTCCCCGAAAATAAGACACTGTCTTATATTTTTTTGGGCTCAAAAAAACACACTAGGTCTTATTTTCAGGGTAGTTCTTTTTTTTTATGTACAATCCACGCTTATTCATGTACAACAGTCTACATGTATTCATGTACAAAAATATGGTGATCAGGGCAATCAGGGGTGCCGTACCTTTCCATGAGCAATTTGCTATCCAATCGCTGGCCAGAATGAGCGAAGCGCACTTATACTATGGATTCCTCACAGGCGGAGTGCATTTGGTATCACTCCGCCTGTGACAGGAGTCGGCACTATAGAGGTGCCGCCTCGCTTCCTCTAGGGCTGGCTTCGTTGGCACCGCTGATTCTCTCCCACGGCTCTTCAGGTTCTCCCTTATGCCACCACCGGACCTGGGAATGGTCACAACTAGGTCTTATTTTCGGGGTAGGTCTTATATTTTAGCAATTCACAAAAATAGTACTAGGTCTTATTTTCGGGGTAGGTCTTATTTTCGGGGAAACAGGGTAGTTATAAAAAGTTTAATGGCTGTATTTTCTCCAAGACCATCCAGCCACAAGAGTGTTGGTTGAGTGTTATATACTCTCTGTTTACCACTTTTTGTTTTTCATATGGTTGAACAACTTTACCATAATACTTATCATAGTGGTAGCTTAACTTTTTATTGAGGCATGTTATTACAATGTCATAGATGGTTGTAAAGTTTTATTGTACACAACCGCTGTAACATGTGGCTTTTTGCCTTACTCCTCTTTTTGTGCTGCTTATGTTTTTTTTATGAATAAAGACTTTAAAAAAAAAGGTTAATGACCAGAATGAAACCTGTACTGAGGTATGGAGGTTGTCATTTATGACCTCCCCTTCGGAAAATAGTTCCCTGCAGGGGCGTAACTAGAAATCACAGGGCCCCATAGCAAAATTTTGTATGGGGCCCCGTGATTGCTAGTTATGCCACTTGCAGAGCCCAATAGACTCTCTATGTTGGGCTCTGCAAGGTCTCAGTTGCGCTGTACGCTTCTTACCTGTCACCTCTGTGGTCGCCGCCGCCGGGCCTCTGCCTCCTCTTCCGTTCCCGGGCTCCGCCTCCTTCTATCGATGGGCCCCGCCTCCTCTTACATCACTGGCCCCACCTGCTCTTAGATCGCTGGCCAGTGATGTGAGAGGAGGCGGGGTTGCTGTTAGGCGGGCCCCGCCTCCTTCTTTACTGCAAATGCCGGTGATCGATCGAAAGTTCAAACTTATCGAGTTGTGGGACTGGAAGTCATGCGATCCCACAACTCGATAAGTTTGAATAGGTGTAAACGGCCTATTCTGCCGCATCTGCTGGCTGTCACTGACACAGCTCCGCAGCGGCTGTGAGTGGGAACATAGTTACATAGTTACATAGTATTTGAGGTTGAATAAAGACATTAGTCCATCAAGTCCAACCTATTAGGATCTCATTCTAGGAGTACCTGTACCCCTGTATATTACGGTCCCTTAAGAAATCGTCCAAAAGTTTCTTGAACAATTCCACATTCTTTGCTGAAATCACTGTCTGTGGCAGTGAGTTCCAGACCCTAACTGATCTTACTGTGAAGAACCCCCTTCGCCCCTTGTGCTGGAATTTTTTTCCCACCAATTTTAGGTGGTGGCCTCTAGTTTTTGTAATGGAGTTAATTTTAAACAGTTTATCGCTAATGTTGCTGCCACCATTGAACATTTTGTACATGGAGATCATATCCCCCCTTAATCTCCTCACCTCCAATGTGAACGTTTTCTTCACAGCAGCTGCTGAGCTATGTCAGGGACAGCCAGCACCCGAGACGCCATAGCGACCCAGGCGGCCCACACGGCATCAGAGGGATGCCTGGCCGGGCCCCCCTGTGCACGGGCCCCATAGCGGCTGCCTGGGTTGCTATGGCGATTGTTACGCCACTGGTTCCCTGACTGTCAAGTTAATCCAATGGTTTCACTTCTTTCTGGGGCATAGGCCTGGAACAAGTATGCAGGTATGAAGCACTTTCTTCACACTGCTTTTCCTAATCTTCATGCTTGTTCTGGGTCAGGTTTCCTTTAAACATGCTCACTTTTTTTAACATCTTTGTCTATTTGTCTGTTTATATGAAAACTATATGCATGCTATTTACCTAAACAATCTTTGAAAGAAAAACCTTGGATGTCATGAAAAAAAGAGTGCAAAGCATTACGGTATAAATGGTTAGAGAATTATTGTAGAAGTGGAAGTAAAGTGTCTAGGGCAGTGGTTCTCAACCTGTGGGTCGCTGTGTGATTTCTGCTGTGCTCGGTGAGAGTCCTCCTCAGCCCTCTCCTAGCGAAGCAGTGTCAGTTCTCCCGCCACGCCACCAGATTTCGCTGCAGCAGCCGTGTCAACCCTAAATTTTACCGTTGGGGGTCACCACAACTTGGCAAATGTTACCAAGGGGTCCCGACCCTAGAAAGGTTGAGAACCACTGGTCTAGGGTAAAATTGCTGACAGGCAGGTTTTTTTTTATAGTAGAAGTGACTGTGAGCTTCTTCTGCCAAAACCTGCTTGTCAGCAATTTTCTTTTACCTGTGCACTAAGTCACAAATGGGCAACTTAGTGCATAGACCCAGCATTCAGAGATGGAGTAACGGCCATGCACATGCACAGAAGTTACATCATGCTAGCCCAGTCAAGAGGCTGAAGACACTGAACCTGGAAGAAGACCGGTAGAAGATGAAAGCACTGGCGATGGAGGGGAGAGCAGACAATACAGTGTTGGAGAGGAGTTTTTGCAAGGTAAGTTAGCCATAATGTCCTAATATGCTGTGCATACTAGCACATTATGGTAAACAGCTCTGGAGCAGTTCTTTTTTTTTATAACCACATTACTTCTGCTTTAAGTAGTCTGAAAATTTCTGGCAATAATCTGATCTGGTCATTCAGGTTTCAAAAATCACTGTAAATGAAAGGGCTAATGTGATTTTTACCAGCTAACCAAACACACAACTTCTTTCAGTTGTGTTTGCTCCATTGCTAAAAGGGAAAAGGATGGTGCCGGCATAATATCTTACTTTTATAAGGAAGTACAACCTCATGGGCCTATGAAATCGCTGTAATTGTTTTTCACTCATACAATGTGAATAGGTGTTTACTGCTTGAGTTTAAAGCTGTAGAGGCTCCACAGACACTGTTTGGCCTAGGCGATGGTACTGCTCACACAATTAAAAAATCCCAGTACTATATGTATATCCTAGCAGTATATGTCGATGGAAATGGCTGCACTGTAGCTGTGAGACTGTATGGGTAATGGCAAACAGCATATTTTGTGTTTATTACTGGTATTTATATAGAACCAATAATTTACGCAGTGATTTACATACTATTCAATCACATCAGTCTCTGCCCTCAATGAGCTTACAAGTTTCCTATCTCATATGCATACATACACATAGGCACACATGCTAGGGCTGATTTAGACAGGAGCCAATAAACCAACCAGCATGTCCTTAAAGTGTGGGAGGAAACCCACGCAAGCACACAAAGACCTTCCATGCAGCTAGTGTCCTGACCAGAATTTAAACTGGGTGAAGGGCAGAAGTGCCAACCACTATGCTACTGTCCTGTACCCTGTTCCAAATGCAAGCACCATATCTTGACTGAGTGTCACGTACCTTGGTGGAGTCTGAGTTGACAAGGGTGGCCTCCCTTGCAGCTCTAGTCC